CGGGGTACGCGAGGCTCACGCCGTCCGCCGCGACGACCTGCACCTCGCCGCTCACGAGGCTGACGCCGGTCGGGTAGGCGGTGAGGCATGGGCAGTCGAGCGGCGGCGAGGGCGGCGGCGGCGACGGCGGCGGCGACGGCGGCGGCGGCTGGTAGAACCAGCTCTCGAACTCGTTGCTGAAGCCGCACGCATGGTACGAGTAGTGCAGGGTGGCGCCCACCACGTACGCGGTCGTGCTGTACTCGGTGTTGCACGCGGTCGGGTCGACGTAGCACCACTCGTGCTCGCACCAGCCGGGGTAGCCGGTCGAGTTGCAGGACGGCTCGAGCCCGCTGTCGTGCGAGTCGCACCCGTGGAGGCCGTACGTGCCGGGGTACGCGAGGCTCACGCCGTCCGCCGCGACGACCTGCACCTCGCCGCTCACGAGGCTGACGCCGGCCGGGTAGGCGGTGAGGCACGGGCAGTCGAGCGGCGGCGAGGGCGGCGGCGGCGACGGCGGCGGCGACGGCGGCGGCGGCTGGTAGAACCAGCTCTCGAACTCGTTGCTGAAGCCGCACGCACGGTACGAGTAGTGCAGGGTGGCGCCCACCACGTACGCGGTCGTGCTGTACTCGGTGTTGCACGCGGTCGGGTCGACGTAGCACCACTCGTGCTCGCACCAGCCGGGGTAGCCGGTCGAGTTGCAGGACGGCTCGAGCCCGCTGTCGTGCGAGTCGCACCCGTGGAGGCCGTACGTGCCGGGGTACGCGAGGCTCACACGCCGTCCGCCGCGACGACCTGCACCTCGGCGCTCACGAGGCTGACGCCGGCCGGGTAGGCGGTGAGGCACGGGCAGACGAGCGGCGGCGAGGGCGGCGGCGACGGCGACGCGAGGGCGGCGGAGGCGAGGGCGGCGGCGACGGCGACGCGAGGGCGGCGGAGGCGAGGGCGGCGGCGAGGGCGGCGCATGGGCGGCGGCGGCGGCGGCGGCGGCGGCATCGGCGGCTGGTAGAACCAGCTCTCGAACTCGTTGCTGAAGCCGCACGCACGGCACAAGTAGTGCGGGGTGGCGCCCACCACGTCGGGGAGGGAGGGGGCCGGTGGCGGTGGGGAGGGAGGGGGTCGGGTGGCGGCGGCGAGGGAAAGGTGGAGGGCAGCGACGGAGTGGGCGTAGGAGGGGGGGTGGCGACGGCGAGGGCGAGGGCGAGGGAGGCGGCGGAGCCGTTGGCGGCGGCGAGGGCGAGTCGGAGGGCGGCGGCGGCGTGGGTGGCGGCGAGGGCGAGGTGTAGGGTGGCGGTGGCGTGGGCTGCGGAGGT